AAAAAATCAACTCATTTGCCCACTCTGGTACAACTAATTTTACTCTTTAGTTTCTTACTTTTTAAACAAATTGTTTTATTATGTAATACAACACTTTATTATCAATACTGGTGTTAATAAATAAAACTTAAGATTAATATTTTAACATTTGATTATTCGATAATGTCACGTTTCTGATATGGGCATTTGGGCTTCCATGCTGTTTTTGAGAATTCTGCCTTAATCATATTCCTTTTGTTTCTCAAATCAGTTCCATGAAATCCTGGATCAGAAAAATGGTACATTTGTTTTCTTTGAATGTTTTAATAGGGAACTTAATGTAGAAACCTAACATTCCCCTTCAGGAAACCCAAACAATCCTGATGCCATGTGTGTCCTTGGTTTCATGTTTCATGAGCTTTTATTTCACTTAGTATATTTTATCAATTATCTCCCTATACTTCATTCTGTTTGAAAAAGAAACTTGCAGTATCACATTTAGATGATAATAAGATGGTCCCCTAAATACTATAAAGAGGTTCTCAGAGAATATTTTAAATGTTTATTTTATTCTTATTATTTAGACCAAATAAAATTGCAAATTGTCTAAAACAAACTGTCTTGGTGATGAAAATGTTAAAACTTAATGCCTGAGTTGTAATAGCACCTGTGCAATTACTATTCAACTGTGCAATTAAAATTCAATGCCTACTAATCAGAATTCAGAAAATGACATAAATCATGTAATTAAGAAACTGTAATACCAACTATGGCCAAGGTATTTCGAGTGGGCCATGACACAGGAAAAAAATTTACATCACATACATATAAACAATGAATGAATAAAACTAAATTCCTGAAGTAAATGTTAAGCTAGCTGACTAATGGAATAAAATATTCAACATGAATAAATTAAATGTCTTACATGTAAAACATTTCAGGGTTTGTATGAACTTGGAAAAACTGGAAATGCCATTCAAATAAAAAATTATGATTGTTCAATTTTACATATTTTATAAGAAAGTTTTATGTATAGAAAGACAAATCATGACTTTTTTTTAATTGTGTTTAAAATCATTTTATTATGAATACTTCATATTAAATATGTGATTTCAACGTGATGCCATCTAATCAATTTGTATATTATGAAACAGTACTCAAATGTGACATCTTTCTAAAACTGTGAAACACAATGAAACAAAGATAAATAATAATTAGTAGTTTATTTTGATAATATTCACAATAGAACCAGTTGTGTTATTAATTCTTTCAGCTCATTTAGTTATTCAAATTTATAATTCAAAAATTTTAGTTATAAAAATTGCTTTTGAATGACAATTTAAACCACATAAGTGCATCCTTTATCTCTAGGAATTAGTGTTTGAAACTATTGGTGTTTTCCAAAATTAATAATAATATATATTGAAAAAGGATGGTCAATTCAGTCTACATAAGTGTGACCGTTCTCAAAACAAAAATATTCTTAAAGTGATGTCAAAAGTCTAGGTTCCCAGAGTTAGTGTCTTTTTAAATAACAATTATGTATTTATTTATTTTTTCAAATTATGACCAGAGCGCCATTCCTTGGTTATGGGGGAATGTATTTAGTAAAAAATACTTAGGTTTCAACTAAAATTATGACTTTGTAATGGGTCTTTTCTCCATTTCTCAACTTTAAAAATTAGAACTTATTAAAAAATTACAAATCAATATTATTTAAGACAATTTTTTATTAAAAACACATAAAAGTGCAAAAAAATGTTGCTATCGTCATAAGTTGTCTAACGAATGTTTTGTAAAATCTGTATGTCGGTAATAGTGTGTTCAACACAGCGTTAATGTTGGAACATGGCACTTATATAATATGCCATTTGTAAGGCCATGGAAACCAGGTCCGTCTTATCAGCTTTGGGGGCCCTTGGCGTCCATTAATTTCAGGGCCCTTAAAATATTCTTACTTTCACAGATATTCACCCTCCAATTTAAAGACAATTTTTTATAAAAATAACGTTCTCATCACCAAGTGACATTTTTGCATCAGTCAGCAATATTCCATATTATATATGTTATCCAATGACGCACTACATATCACTTCATTATAACAATTTTTTGCATATAGTTTAATCATACATCACTTTTTTATGTTTTTATTTATGTTTTAAAAAAATTTAGTAATAACTTTTTAAGAACTATCGGGGCTCTGGGCCCGAGGCCTTCGGTGTTTGGGTGCCGTTTCTGTATACAGAGTTAACAGTGCTGATGTCATAAGTTATGCGTCATTTCATTAGAGAAGGGACACTGAATAATTCTTCATCAGTTGCAGTTCATTTTCAAGAAAGAAAATTTGCTCTGTGTAAAACATGTAAACATTGGTCACCGAACTTGTGCTAAGATTTATTGTGCAGGAAACATTAAAGTAAAACCCGTTTTACAGTTCAGAGAAATGCTTTGCAACAAATGCAAATGCAACAAATATTTTGCAAAAAAAATTAAGGGGAAATCCCAGTTGTCTTTTAAATCTGCAAAGAATGTTAGGTTCTGTGGTCCACATGTGATAACTACATCACTACAGTTGCTAACAAACAGCTATCGCCACTCCTTGCAGATTATAATTTGGCGACAACTGGGACGCTTTCTCTTAATCTATAAGAGCTATGTGGGTCTCTCAATTGAACTCTTTTGGTTAGTCTCTTTTAATTAGTCTCTTTTCAATTATTTGATTTATGGTAAACACATTGTCTATACATGATCTTCCTTGCCTGAAGTCACTTTGTTCTTTCAATAGCAGTGCATCAGAGACATTTATTTATTATTTTTGTGCAAACTTTATAAGTGATGATCAACAGGCTGATACTTCTGTAATTCTGTGGCTGGCTTCTATTACCTTTCAGAAAAAGAGAGATGACTTTTGCCTTTTGCTTTCTTCCATGCTCAGGTATTTGGCATTTTCTTCAACAATTATTGACTAGTTCAAGAAGTCTGTTCTTCACCTCTGTTTTAGTAGTTCTGCATTGATACCATCTACTCCAGGAGCTTTTCTATTTTTCATCCTTGACAGTGCATATTCCATTTCAGGTTAGCTCAAAGAGTTGTATTGTGATTTATCTTCAACGATTACAGTTGGGTCATATAGGAGATATTTATAATATTTTATCCAGTCTTCTCTCTTTATTACATTTAGTTCTGCTCTGTCCTTTTCCTCTGATTTTAAATGTTTTATTATCTTGTAAGCTATATTCTGTGTTCCATGGACATAATTTTCAATTATGCTGATGGAAAGTTCTTCATGAGCTTTTTTCAGTAGTTGCTTTGCATGGTTCCTTTTTCATATGTAGTCTACTCCACTATATATTAATGTGTAGTGTCCCTCTACCCTTCTTTTTTGTTTTCAGAAATAACAGCAATATTTACATTCCTTGCTTTTTGCCCTCTCTCCAGTTCTGCTTCTTTATTATTTAATCCTCTCGCATCTGTATACCTAAAATTAGTGTATCTGTTATTCCCAATCGTTTTTCCTTATTCTTACTAGAGTTGTTACAGTGGCAGTCATGTAGTTTCACTTGAAGCTTTCGGGTAAGAGATTTTACCGGCAAGGTTACCAGCCTTTTGCAGAATTATGATCTGACAGGACCGCTGTCTTATGACTTGATTACAAATCACCATGTGTACTCCACCACATTACACCACATGGGTGGCTGCTCCTTCTGCCCTTTTCTGGCTATTGAAGACTGTGTCCTTGTTACCCCAGACAGGAGTTACAGCTGTTTGTGCATAGTCTTCTTCGACAGGACTGCCGTTGAGGTTCTGGAGGTGTAGAAGCACAAGAATAAATTTATTAAGATGATGCTTTTTTATCTCACAGTCAGGCTGGTGCCAAAAGGGCAATTTCAACAAGGAATGTCTCATTGATAACATGGTAGAAAAGTTTTTAGTCACTCAAAGACTAGGTTGGGATGATGTAACAAAAGCAGGAGGAGTTACACAGATCAAGATAACTAAAAGTATGATTCATTATGCCAGAAACACTTGAACTGTTTATCATGAAGAATTAGAAACAAAGAAGACAAAAGACTAGGGAGAATAGAAAATGAAAGCTCAGAACATAAAAGCTAAATAAAAGATATGTGAACTGAAGGAACTGGTCAAATGGCAGATAGTGATGAAGATATTGGTTCACTGATTTCGTTGAGGTTGAAGTAGGTTGACCTAGATTCTTCTGTTTTTAAAATACTTTTTTAATTTTATTTTATTTTTATAGCCTATAATTACATATTGTTAAGAACATTAGTTATTATAATACAGTTTTTTATAAAATTTACTTGTAATTTTTCATTTTATCACCCTTACCTGTTTTCATCATCGTCTATAACAGAAATAATTTATAAAGAATAACTGGATTTCTTTATTGTGCCTGAAAAACCTGCAAAAGGCAGGGATTTTGAAAATCTAGAAAGCATATGGCCCTGCATTTAGTCCTAAGATTAAAGATGTTAAAAAGGTAAATGTCAGTTGGATTTACCCGTTCTAAAAATTCTGCTATAGAAAAACTGTGGCTGAAGTAACTAATTTTTCTATTTCCCAATTTATGCAGTGTATTTATTTTATTATTCGCCGAAGATTCAGGCCACGTCGCCAGGGCAGTCGAGGGCTGATTTACCCACTGACCCAACTTCATGCTGACAAATGTGAACTATCGCTGCGCTGTTTAACTTACTTTACTTTACCTTCATGGTGCTGATGGCGATGTCCTCCTTGAATGTTCTAGTAGTGCCAGAATGCATTATTGGCATCTCTGAACATATTCTGATTTACACCTTCAAGTAAGTCTCGAGTAATTGCTGTCATTTTCTCTTCAATAGAACGCTGGAGCTGTTCCTCCAAATGTGGGGTTTCTGCATACACCTGATCTTTCAAGTACTTCCAAAGGAAAAAGTCACAAGGAGTCAGATCATATGATCTAGGAGGCTATAACCTACAACTAATTATTTGGTCCACACTATAAGTTCATGGATCGAACAGCAGCAGTTGCCAAATGCTGTTGAAAGTAACAATAGATGACTCAAAGATTTTCTTAGAGATTGTTGTGTCCTGACAGACTTTTTTTTTTCGCCTTCTCTTCTGTCATGACATGGTACTTTCCAGTTTCATCTCTTAATTAAAATTCCATGGGTGCGAAGTTTCTTTACAAGCTTAAAAATTGTCGACTCATGTGGAATATTCATGCTCATAAATTTCTTTATAAACCTCTTGCAACACTTACTGGCAGACTAAGTCGAACAAAAGTGACATAAAGGAATGTTCTCTGCTTGAAAGAAAATTTCATGATGCACAGTTTAACTCTAGAGACATATGGCGGTTCGTGCCGAATGACGAATGCGCAGGATAAATGGAGTCCTTATTGTGAAGTTCCCAGGTAAACAAGGGCTCGATTGCTGAGACAAGTGATCCGCCATCTTTTGTGAAAGATAAAATAGACACCCAGTACATATTGTATTCTATCTGATACTTGCCTTTGTTTCATTGGAAGCAATGATTTCATAGCTTAGCCAGCTTCGTCTAATATTTTAGCTGCAATCTGTTCAGTACCTTCCATATGCAAATATTTTTTGCAGACTAAGACAATGCAACCACCACTAAAATAGATATTTTTCAGAAACAATGTGATGTCATCAAATATATGTCTCCAATGGTAAAGATATGCATGAATTTCTCAAAATTAAAATTATTCTTTAATAGAAACGGAAATATATTGAACGTGACATGTGGATAAAGTGGTATGATTTGCATTTGTTCCAATTGTCACTCGTTTTCTTGAACATTCCACTCATGCAATTATACCCCGTTTATCCACTTGTTTGTTAATTAATATTTTCTCCTACAATATTAATTGTAAAATTAATTATTCTCTTTCATTTTAGTCCTCACCCGATTCTGCATTGTCCTTTGATTTTTTAGGTTCCCCTGAAAGCTTTGTTCTGCGAATTTGTGTTTGACTTTCATCTGATGCCATTTCAACATTATTCCTTTCCGAATCACCAGATGTTTTCCTATCATGCTCTTGTTCATGGCTTCTTAATTCTTTAACAATTCATTTGCATTCTTTAACTGAAGATACTAGAAATTCATATTGTTTAATGTTTGTGTGATAGATCTAGCCTGTGCGTTTGTAAATAACATGGGAGAGAGTGGCTAGTTATCAAGTTTAGGAAGCTTTTTCTACACAAGTGTCTGTGTGGCCTTGTCAATCAACTCATGTGACCTCATTGGTAAAGTGCACAGTGTACATTTACTCTTTTTTTATTTGTTTTCCATATTTTTTTAATCAACCCCTTTCAAAACTATGGTTTAGTTTTTTATAGTCTAGTTCACCAAATTCGCACTGGCATATGCTTGCAAAAATAATTGTTATATCAATTATAAATACCTGAAATATTATGCCTTTTCAAGTAATTGTTATGTCAGCACTCAAATTTCTTAATGTAGATAAGCAGTGTAAATTTAAATTAACCAACTAGACTTCATCTACTAATATAAGACAACCATGCATATTACATATTACAAATTTGTTTTAATAAAACCAAAATTGTTACAAGAAAAGATTTCTCAAAGCTTTCTGTCTATATTCACATTGTGTAGCATGTGAATGCAAATCTTATTGGTGATTAGAATTAACCTCAATGTAGTGTAAAGTGAGAGGGCAGAATTTATTGTATTCTTGAGATTGTTATGCTATCTACTTGGAATTGAATTAAAATTGATAAAATTGTAAACCTCCACCAGATATTTGAAATATCAGTTATCATTATAATTATATGTGATGATAAAAATAATATGAGAAAGTCTGCTAATCATAATCACTAATTAAGGTGTTGGATGGATGAAGAGTGTATTTCAGAAAAAACAGTTTTGTGGTAATCAAGAAAAACTGTGTACAAGCTGTTTCTCACATAAACTACAAAATACGTACATATCGTGTGAAAAATCATACTAGTAACTGATTAAGCCCACAAAATGTATTAAATTGCTCAAATATGATTTACATTAATTTGAAAATGTTGAATTGTGTCCTTAATCCGTAGAATAAGCTAATTTTGATAGAAATTTTTTTTTCTATTAAAATCTGCATGTATATCTTAATTTCAGTAATAAAGAATAATTTGCATTTCCATCCAGGTTAATTAAGGTACATTAACATTTGTTTTCTGATTTTCAGAAAAGTTTTCCATTTTCGTCCTTTATTTTTACGTACAACACTACGCAAATAAGCATCTGAAGACGTATTACCTTCATCTGAAGACTTGAACTCGGAATTGCAAAAGCCTCTCAAAAGTAATCTATTAGTGTTAGCGCAGTACCATCTGGAGTGGGGATAGAAAGTCACATAAGGACAGTTTTGAACCTTTTTACGTATAATCTCCAGAATTCAAGTTACTCAATTATGACATTGAATACTGTTTCTTACATACATTTCTACACAAATATATTGAATGAGCTTAATACATGCAAAATTTCAATTTTCTTAATTTTTGTAATTGGATTTTATGAATTATGAATGTGTAATGGTTGTCTAAAGAGAGCACATTGAAGGCAAAAGAAGTTGCTGAATGAAAGCTTGTGTCCTAATATTTAAATAAATTAAATAAATATTTATTCCTAGTTTGTTATTACTTTTAAACATAAAATTTTTCAGTTTTGTGTGCTTAGTTTAATATATACTGAATCATTTACAAGATTAAATTATATAGAAGTGGATATCTTATATATTTTAGGGTATGTAATTGCATTTGATTTTAGTGTGGAACATGGAAACCAAGAAAATAGAAGTTGACTTGCCGGGGCATGCTGATGAAGTTTATGCTGTTGATTGGTCAGCAGATGGTCAGCGTGTTGCTAGTGGAGGAAAAGACAAAGTTTTGAAATTGTAAGTTGTTATTTTGAGGTACACTTAATTGATGTGTTGTAATGATAGCTATTTGTAATGCAGTAGTATAAGAATAGTTTTTTATATGATACAAAATTTATACATGCCCAAATTTGAAATTTGTTTCAGATGGCAGAACTGAAGTTGAACTTAAATGTTTTCTGCTCAAAATGATTGAGAAGAATTCCTTGGTTAATTTGAAACTGTAATATTCAGAAGGGTAAAATGTGGTGATAGCAGCAATGATGTACAAATTTAAAATGCAATGACATACATTTGTATTTATCAAAATATTCAGAGCAAAGATAAATTACATCAATACAAATGAATACAAATGCAATGCAGCATATTAAAAAAAATGGCAATATCCAAATAGATCATGTTGTGTTGTTGAAGAATCATTGAATTTATATAATTTGAGTAAGGACTGTGTATTTCATTTGTAGTGAGTTTCTGAATTATTGTGTATTCAGAAAAATTTTATTTTATTTTTATAAAATAACTGTGACAGTTTCTAATGTTATATTTGATGTATATGTAACTGACTGTAAATATTTTTACAGTATACTATATTCAATAAGAGTTTTTAATGTTGTTATTTTCAATTATTTATTGCTACTCTTATCTTTTATGTAGTTTGTTACACAGAAGCACGCATGCATGCACACTCTTACTCTGTTTTAATTAGGTTCTGACAATTCACAGAATCTTCAGGGCAATTCCATTGTTTCAACCATGACTCATTCACACGTTCAAAATTTAAAATCTGGCAAAATGCAATTAACTTAATTTATACTCTTCTTGTAATAAAGGAAAGAAAGACTCCAGTCCTAATTCAAAATAATTTTTAAATTATTTGCAGAACATTTATGACTGCATATAGTTTCATTTTTATTGTAAGTTTCAGCAACCTAAAGTGTGGTTAACTCAACATTGAGGTCACGAAAATGATCCAATGATTTAAAGTGATATTTATGTTAAATAAAAGAATGTGAAAATAAATGTGGTGTGGCTTGAATGTTACATGAAAATTAACAAAGTAAGTTTTTTGGTTTGACAGAAAGTTTTGGTAATTAGAAGTAGTTCAGAAATTTCAATAAATTTTTTCAATTTAAAATATGTTTTAAGTGCAGGAATATTAAATTAAAAAAGTATATAATGCTTTCAAAAAGTTTTTTTTTTTAACTTCATTGAAGTATTAACATGATATACAAGAGGGATATGCTCCCTTCCTCTCCAACAATTTAATCTATAATTTTGATTTAATCTGTAACGTTCAACTTCACTACTAAATTGTTTGCCCTCAAGAGACATAAACTTTTAAATGAAGTTTATATGCAAATTTTAAATTCCAGATGTTGCAATTGCTAAAGCATTGTAGGCTCTTGGTGAGGGCAAATTTATGACAGATTTATTTCAATCTTCTAAAACCATTCTTAACTGGTATATGCCTGTAGGTAAATGGAAGGGAGAAACTTAAATTAGCTTGTTAAACTTTCTGCACTATACAAAAACTAACACTAACTTAATTTTTTTTTTTAATTGTACATGACCTTTTAGAAGATATTTATCGTTAGTATTGTACTTCTGCAATGTCAATTTTCAGCTATTTACAAAATTACAGAAAGTTCGTCAAAAATGGAACCACACTTATCTTTAACATTCTTTGCTACATAAGACAAAAACATTAAATATAAATTTTAAGCCAGTTTCAAGAATATAATTGTTGAAAAATTGATCATGATATTACATGAAGATTTATTTTTGATGAACATGTTTCATTAAGGAACAAAATGTCTATATTCTGAATCATAGCTGTAGAAAGATGCTGAAAAAGTTTGAACATTTGAGGCTTTGTGTAAAGCATTCCAAAAATAAAAATGTTTCAAACTCGCAAGGTCTTGAGTTTGTCAAGATCAATCAGGGAATATGTTTTCGAGAAAATTGTCTGAATGATTTAGACGCTAGTATTGAACATAGACGGAGGGACTGACAGACATTTTGTCAATTGATTTTTGTGTTAAGGAGGCACAAAACTTGACTTTTGACTACATGATAGAGGAAGTCATTTACCTCATATACAAATAAGTTTTATCTTTGTAGTTACGAGGGTGTGGCAATAGGTTTTCCTTTGTAAACTCGCCTTTTTCCCCCCACAACTTTAAAATACTTTCTCTATAAGTGATTCTCAGGAATAACTGGATTCGGCAATTGCAAGAAGGGTAATATCTAGCAGCACATACATTTGTGACCATTCTCTTCCCATTATGAATCTGAAAAAATTCTCGAGGATACCTCTGATAATATGTTATGGGCAATCATGGAATTAGTATGTATCTTGTTAAATAGAATCCAAAGTGCTTAATATTTTATATCATGTAAAAGAATAAACATTGATTGTTTTTTTGATATTAGAAATATATAATGAACTCTTGTCAAAAATTAGATGAGAAAATAATGATTTTTTGAAGAATCCTTTATAGCTTTGAGTGATCCTTCTTATTCAATTACACATATTTAATAAAAAATAGTTTCTTGCTGTCATCATTAAAACAATAACAATTCTATCATAGTTTTGTGTTTGGCAAAACACTAAATTTGTGATTGCAATGTAGCAAAGATAATTACATTTTCAGCCCTAATAGCAATTAAATATTTGGTGTCCAAATTATATATTGAAATGAATCAATAAGTTCTCCTTCACTTTTAATAATTTCCGTTAAGCTATTTTTTTTATATTTTTACTGCCTCGTATTGGGCCTGTCAATGAAGTAAATCTTAATACCTTTGATAATATTTACAGTTTTACAGTATTCTTCATTTAAAGGAGTGGCTTGCTCTGGTTTTAATTTAATATTTGGGCATCAGCATACTGGAGCTTCTCAGGGTACTAGTACTACAGGGTTTCGTGGGCCTGAAAATACCGCTCGTACGAGTATTCGGGTGGTAAACAATTTAATTATTGTTAGGAAATGTTTGCCACTACTGTTACTGATAAATTAAACAATTTACAAATTTTGTTTATGAATTGCCACTGACAGTGAGTGTCGGCTGCCACAATTTTTTATTTCAAGTTTTTTTTTCGGTTTAATGTGACCTTTTAACAATTTATCCTTATATTTCTCCACTGTGACTATTTGATGGCCGTCGAATTTCTACAAAGAAGACACACTAAGAATTCTTTCTCAATTGTAATGTTAACTTAAAACCTAAACATAACTTGGCCTTGCTGTAATATTTTCATTAATATCATTCTGTCACTTATTGCCTAAATTTCCTTTTGAAGAATTTACAGCAATCTTGGCGTTGACAGTGATGTCAGTAACTTGACATCTTTCCACCTGGAGCTCTTTTTACGTCCAGACTGAATTTGAACTTCTCTTCGCGACCTAATTATCTCACAAATACTGTACTCTTTTCTCGGATAAATCGCATATAAATTACTTCCCTATTCTCCCATTTCACGTGGACCACGTGTCCTTTTTCTATCTCCTCGGGCTAATAACAAAAATTATGCCCTGACGTCCATCGATGCTTTCCTTACCAAATCCAGCATACTTCTGACTAATCACAAAATATTTCTACACTATGCCTTGACGGCCATCGACCCTCGTCTTACCAAATCTGATATCATTCTGACAAATTGTTCGCTTACACCGTATATCAGACCTAACCGGTTCACATAGTTCATTGTTATATTTCTTCCTCCATGCGCTCTTGTCGCGCCGTAACCAAACATCAAGGGTGTTTGGTCCCTATCAACAATGTCTTATATTATTTATCTGCTTTTTTTTTTAATTCATAAATGTCCCAAAATTTACTTAATCCAATTAATATTTGGATTTTCTGACACCTCATTCTTTTCACTTTCATTTTGAAACCTCGCATTTTTATTTGCGTCATTCTGCAACTCCTTTTATTTCGCCACCTTTTTGACTTTAAACTTTTGCTTATAGATGCCAAACATTCCTTTAGATATTTTGCCTTGCGTCGATATAATTCGTTGTAGTTTCTATTCCACATTCTCATATATCGACAAGAAACATTTCCAAAATAATTCAAAAGGTAGTGTTATTTGAACTGTATGTGACGGTCATTTTCTCGTCGACTGCTCTTTCCATTTACGCGGTATGGTTCGAATTGCGCATTCTAATTGATGGTCCCCACTCCTAGAATTTGCCTCATCCCCACCCTTCAAATTTCTCCGCATTTGCATTCAAGTGGCTCGCGAGCGGTTCTCCAGGTCAGACAAAGTGCAAAATGCTGTGCAGGCCTGACGTACGTTAACTACGGCGCGGGAGCAGAAACATGCGCGGATGCGGGAGAAATATCGTGACGAAAAAGCTGGTGCCTACCGGCCCGCCACTCCGGAGCTAGTTGTCCTTTACGACGAGGTCGCGGGGTTCCTAGCTCCGGTGGAGGCAGATAGGTACCCGGAGAACGTGATATCTCTCACAACCCTGCAAGCGATGTAGGACCTGGAGTGGTGGGGATGGATGCCCCCCTGCACTTAGAGAACGCAATATCAGGCCTGGAAAGACTGCCAAAGACGCAGAGCTACCACAAAAAGTCCAATGTGGTTAAGCGACCCGACTCCTATTGCTGCAGCAGTAGGCAACCCACAGTACGAATGTGTATTGCGAAATGCTGGTCCAGGGGCCGACCGGTGCTCCTGCATCTACCACTGGCGGCGAGAGCGAGAACTCTGTCAGGCGGGTTGCAATGTCCGCGGCCCGGCAGGCGCCAACGCTGCACGCGCTGCGCGGACCTGAATGTCCGCTAGACCATAGACAAAGTGTGTGCTGCCCCAGTCCAGTTGGAAACCCAGAGGGACAAAGATAACGAACCAGCACCCGCAACCGAAACGCGCCGCGGAGCGTGGAGTACGGGAGGCCGGGGACGGGATGCAGGGTGGGGCAAACGCCGGGCGATAACAGTTTGCCGCAGACAGTGATCCGATCAAAGGTGTGACCTCCTCCATGATGGGGGCTGCCACCCCTCCCCCCGCCCGCGGGAAACCCTCGCAAGCAGAGGGTCATCATCTGGTACGTGAACTTGACGGCAACGCTGATTAAGCTGATTCATCCCTTGAACCAGTCAGATTTTTGTAGATATTGTTCCCAAAGCACTGTAAAAGATGACATAAATGCCTGTTTTCTGTATTCTTTTGTTGTTGTTGTTGTTTTTTTCTCTGAAATTACAAAAACGTTTTTTTAAATTTCCTCGCATATTGATTATTAATGCATTTAGAGTATTTATGAGTAACAATTCCTTTAAAATTTATTTTATTCGGATTGTTCTAAACAAACTTAATAACATACAATTTATTATTATTATTATTATTATTATTATTATTATTATTATTATTATTATTATTATTATTATTAAAAACGTCCGTTCATCTTTTTGTCCGTCTGGGAACAACACCACTGCTGTAGTTACTCGTAGGAATTTTGCAAAATGTATATTCCACGGTCAATCTGAACTTGCTAGAAGCCCTTTTGAAAAATAATATTTTGAATTTGAAAAAATCTTTAAAGTTTGGGGTTACTTCAAATAAATCTCCTGGCATATATTTTAAAGTTTTCTCAAAAATGGATTCAAAATTTTTTTTAGTAAATGTCTTGTAAGAATAGAGTGAAATTTTAACCATTAGTTTGCGGCATACTCGCATCTGCCATATGCCACCCAGAGGCGACAGTGCTACCCTCAGAAGCTCTAAAAGTTACGTATTTTGGACTTCTCAATAATGATGGCATAGATTCGATTTTCACGGGCACCAGTAAATTTTTGAAAATTGCCAAAGTTTGAATTTTTTTCGGCGTCTTCCTACAACTACAACATTAAAAATGGAGAACTTTTCTTGATAAATAAATGTCATGTACGATATTTTTGAAATATTAGTAATTTTTGCGCAAGTTTGAGTGAAATATGAGCAATATTAGAAAACATCAAAAGCAAGAATTTCTCAATAACGCTCCAAATTTTTGCATTCAACTTTCTGAACAGATAGCGCTAAATTCACTGAATAAAATAATGTAAATGTAGCTACAGTATGCGCACGTTTTGTTGAACTCTCCTTTTGCTTGTAGTGGTAGGAGTAGAGGTAAAGGCGAGTTACTATTTTGTTAGTAATGCAGAAAAAAACCCTGCAGTTCGTTTATCGTTGCAAATACGTTTTCTGTAACTCGGGAACAAAAATGTATAGTTTTTCAAATGTCGCTACTGCCGCGCTTTTTTAAAAAATATTGTTATTATGGTTATAAATTTGTTTTTACTTTTATTCATTTTTTAACTATAGTTAAAACGATGGGAAAGAATTCTGGAACTCAAAAAAACGTGCGCAGATTATATTCTTCCCCATACGTCATACAGTTTTTTTTACTGTTTTTTTGACTAAATAAATCCAAAGTGACCCCAACACCAATAAATATTATTTTGCATTATTTAAAAATTACACAAATATAATTTATTTACATATCTATCAGCCAGTTAATATTTACATTACGTTTATTTTTAATACATTATTTTATTTTGAGCATAAGTACTTAAATTGATTTCTAATACAGTTTTTCGAAAATTCTGTGTTTTTTTTTTTTTGTAATGAAAATGTACTCAAAATCCCGCAAATTCATAAACGCCCAAAGGTTGGTTTTTCAAAAATATCGCAAACTGTTTCAATGAAAATTTGTATATGAAAAAAGTTTTCCCTCATAAATGATGTTCTTAAAGTTAATTTTAAATTTAATTGTTAGACGAGGAAAAATTACGAAAATATGAAAAAAAAAAAATGTATTTTAGGCACCGATATGTAACAGCTGGATAGTGGATGGAGGATAAACGAAAAGCTAGCCCAGATTAAACAGGCAACTGTTGCGAGATTTCTGGGCCATTTGTATTAGAATTAGCATGCTGCATTAATGCACATGGTATTCATCCATGGTAGCACCACGAGAGCAAGTAAAACCAAACGAATGCATACCAACAACGACCAGCGAATAATACCGTTTATTGTTGGGTTTCCATGTGAAAAGCCGGTAAGTCAATGCAGTCCATTTTGTGTCATATCCAGCGCAAAATAAATACATGCTAATGTAAAAATGATAGAACATTTTTACATTGCAGCTACTCTGTATGCATTCTCACGGTTCCTGTTGCAAGAATTTAAATGAAGGTGATTCGAAGATTAAACAATGGTACTTTTTTTATTTACTGTTGGCCAACTTGTTAACACAAATGTATCAGAGAGTGTGAAATATATAATATTTATAATCTCTGAGAAACTGTAAGTGTATACTGTGTATACTCTGTGGTATATGTGTGCTGGTGGAAGCAGGGTGAGAGGCGGGAACCCAGAAAAGTTGCTGACAGTAGTTACTGAGTAGTTGTCTCAACTTGTTGACAGTAATTGTAGAGGAAATCGGTTTTTGTGAGTTTTGATGTTTGTGAGTTTATTGTTTTGATTTTAAAATGACAGTAGATAAGGACGGAGATAAACAGCAAAGGCAGAATTTACCATGGTTAGTTCCATTTTTTTATTTTTTATTTTTTATTTTTGTATATAAATAACTATATATTTTACTGCATAACTAAATTAATTCTCAGGGTTGAAAAGTATCGACCTAATAAGCTAGAAGATCTTATTTCACATGAAGACATTATCAAAACTAGTAAGTAAAACCTCCTATGGTCTTGTATGAGATGAGTTCTCAACAGAAATGTCTGCAAGTAGGAATTGTTATACAAATGGTTGGTTATAGGATAATTGCAATTTAATTTGTAATTTAAGTTAACAGATTTATTAAAGAAGACCAACTTCCTCACTTGCTCTTCTATGGACCTCCTGGTACAGGAAAAACTAGTACTATTCTAGCATGTGCCAAGCAGCTGTACCAGCCAAAACAATTTGGATCAATGGTAAAAGTTTTTAAATTAATTTTTTTCTTTGGATTTTTTTTTTTTTTTTTTAATTTATAAGTTGTCCAATTTTGTGTGCAGAGATCAAACTTAAACAATAACTGAAATAATTTTTTGTATTGAATGTTCTTTATGCTGGCTGATGTACTAATGAATTGTACCGTTACACTTGAATGATAATTATAGAAGGAATATGATAAGAAGTAATGAGGTTTCAGCTAGAGGGACAAACATTGTAGATGAATTAATTTTTTAAGAGCAAAATTCTCTGATGTATCTAATATTATGTCAATAATGATACATTACAAAAAATTGTTTTTCATATATAATATGAAAAGGTCGTTGACATCTGGGACAAGATCTGTCAATGCTAATTATATCATTACACGTTTTTTGTGGTCACTGTTTCTATGTTTTGCATTTGAAAAATATATTTTTTTAAATAAATGGATATAAGTTAATTCTGTGCAATGAATGAGTGTTGTGGATTTTTCCCGTAGGTATTGGAGTTAAATGCATCAGATGATCGAGGTATCGGAATTGTCAGAGGCCAGATTTTGAGTTTTGCTAGCACAAAGACAATTTTTCATTCTGGTTTTAAACTCATTATTCTTGATGAAGCTGATGCTATGACTAATGATGCTCAAAATGCTCTTAGAAGAAGTGAGTAGAACTCTTCAAACATCAACAAAATAAGCTTAAAAGTGAATTGGTAATTATGCAGTGGGTAGACACAAGGACGTTTATAGTGAACGTGAGGGTCAAAGGCCCGAGCATCACTATGACTCTATGATCAGAGTGAGCAAAGCAAGAAAACTTACCTTTGAAAGTAAATTGACTGTATAGTGCAGCAGGGACAAAGTGTATGAAGGGTGAGCCATGAAAATCGCCTATCCGTAGGTTTTAATCATTTCTATCAGAGCTCGTAGTGTAATGTAAGGGGGGGGGGGGGACTTAAAGGGAACCCCTCCCCCGCTGCCAGGCGTCTCTCAGGGTGTATTGTGTACCCTACTTTAACTGCTTTTAAATCATTTAGGAAACATTGTTTATGGTATTTTTGTTTAAACAGCACATTATAGTTCGTATTTTATACATTTTACTTGGTGTACTCAAGATTTTTGGGTTTTCGTTGTTGATGTGTGAGATTTTTGAAGGTCAAATGCCAACAGTTTTGATGTGAAAATTAAAAAAATTAATGTGTTTCACTTAGAAATTATTCATTTCAATGTTTTGGTAAATAATTCTTGACCTACAAGTGCTGAAATATTCAAAACAGTGCATTCATGAGGATTAAATGTTTTCTCTGTAGTTAGTTATGTTTTAATAGTGTTAGAAATTCTTGTATTTAAAGAATAGAATGTTCAGTTTTCTAAACTTTTCTTTGTGGTTTCCAGTTATTGAGAAATTTACAGAAAATGTGCGATTTTGTATTATTTGCAATTATCTTAGTAAAATAATTCCTGCCTTGCAATCAAGATGCACTCGATTTCGATTTGGACCTCTAGCTCCAGAACAAATATTGCCAAGGCTAGAGTATGTTGTAAAGGAAGAAAAGTAAGTATTCTGAATGTTCATTTTTTGTTCAAAAATTTTTTCAACATATATATGAATGTAATAATTTTTTGAATTGTTGATAATGTGAATGTTTGCACTTAATATAAGGGAAAGAATCATCTTCTATGATTTAGTAGAAAATTGTTAACAGTTTTGAAAAACACTTCTTGTCTTGATTGAATGTGTTGGATACAGTAGTTAGTACAGATAGACTGTTAGAATGTGTGCACTTACATTGTTACAAATACAATAGTATGGTAAGTTCATTTTACATTTTCAATTATTTTAATTAATTGGTTTATTTTATTTTATTTTCATTAAATGGTTGGTCAGTTAGAGACATACATTGTACAATTGAGTATTTTGTAAAATCATAATATTTTCAACGTTTGCTATATTGAATGATCTTGTGTAGAGCACAGCTTGTGTTAATTAATGTGCCCAAAGCTTTAGTTCAAATTTTATTCATAGGCTGTGATAATAACTAATTTTTGCAGTGTATCCATTACAGAAGATGGTAAGAAAGCACTTCTTGCACTCTCAGGTGGAGATATGAGGAAAGTTTTGAACATTCTGCAAAGCACAGCTATGGCCTACAAGGAAGTGACTGAAGACAATGTTTATACGTGTGTTGGACATCCCCTGAGAAATGATATAGCTAATATTGTTATGTGGCTGTTGAATGATGAGTTCACTACAACTTACTCAAGTATCCTTTTCATGCATTAAATACAATTTTTTGTTTGAAAAATTTGCATCTGCGTATGTAATCATTCTCTTGCACTTGTGCATGATCATCCCCAAAATTTAGAATATGAGGAGAGATATAAGAAAATTTATTTCTTAACACACTTTAGAAATTCAAGAACTTAAGTCTGCAAAAGGTTTAGCTCTTTCTGATATTTTGACAGAAGTTCATGGTTATGTGCATAAAAGTAAGTTGGAAAAGTATGTATTTCTGGGAAAATGTATTTAACTGCACTATCTAAAACTTAGTTTATTTTGCAGTTGAACTTCCACCCCTTGCAGCTGTAACTCTTTTGATTAAAATGGCTGATATAGAGCACCGCCTTGCATCTGGAACAGATGAGAATATTCAGTTGAGTTCACTGATATCTGCATTTCACATAGCTCGTGATTTAGTTCCTATTAATTCTGAGCAATCATTCTGAATATGATTTGAATATTTTCGGAGTGTGTGTTTGTAAAAAAAAAGTGACAAACTGGAAATAAAGTACATGAATGCAAGTAATATTTTATTGTGTTCAAACAATTCATTAAGATATTTAAAACCCCACATCAAACAAAGTGAACTTACATTGGAAATGCTTTCTGATTATATATTTCATCAACACTCGCAGCAAACATATGGCAGTCAAGGAATTAAACATACTTCAGAACAGTCACACACACTTCCACAATCAGATTATCTATATCTCATCGAAATATGGTAGAATTCAGAGGATGGACCTGGCCAATTTAAAAACCATATTTTCTCTTAAAAGGCTCTCTTTATTTTGGTACAGGTACTAAGTGCACCGTTATTTATATGTATGGATAGTTATAAGTACACATGATGTAAACGTAATTCTGGTGTTTTTCAAAAAATCTCATAAATGTAATTTTTTTTAAATATCTCATGTTATTTACCTTACAAACTTTTTATTATTTCATTTCTCTTTTATTTAGGTACATTAATGCATTTGAGTACAGGCACTTCATATACTTACTCAAAAGTAAAAGTAAACTCAAAATTGCATGTTTTCAAAAATTTTCAAAAGACTTGGAATCAGCTCCAAATTTTTCAATGAATATTTGCATTCAGGACCTGGTTTTACTCTTCTGCAATATTCTTCTTCCATTAGCACTTAAACCCTTTGTGGGTCTTGACTTTCATAACTAAGTCGTTCCACATTTCCTGTCATTCACTATCACTCTCCATTCTCCCTTGTGCAGCACCCAAAGTTCTTGACACGTGTCCATCCACAGAGTTCTTGGTCTTCCTTAAAGTAATATTCAGTTGTCTTAATTTCTTAACTACTGTGAAGAGTTGTCGACTTCTGTGAAGTTAAGCAACTCCATACACCACTGATTCATGGACAAGTGACTGTCTGAAATTATTAGGGGGCGGAAAATGTATTTTAGGCACTGAAAGATAGCAGCTGAGAAGAGGGTTTGGCAAAACCGAAAATTAGCACACACAAGAAAATTAACTATTACAAGAAAGTCGTAGTATGTGCCAGCTTGCAGGATCCGTAGTAAGCAACTCCAGATATCACGGATTCCTAGGCGGGTGACTGTCTGAAAAGTTAACGGAGGATTACTTCAGATACATGTGTTAAATGCCCAAAAGTGCAAACTGGTGTGTTCCAACAAAATAAAAATTAATTTTAGTAAAGAAGTATTGTAATGCTGCTGCGGAAATCGGCGACAAAACATCGACAGCAAAACTCGTACTGCCGGGCCCTGGTAACGAATACGTGAATAAATCTTGTTCCTATATGTAGTATATTACTTCCTCTAACACGTCCTCTACTCAGAATCTGCATTTGTGGGTCCTACCGAAACATTGGCTCACGGGAAACGTCCGCCCGTATGTACAACGCTAGTGCATAAACAGTTCAGACGATTTTTTTCCAAAATTGATATTTCCCCATCGATCCAGCCGAACTTAAGGCCCTGCGAAATTGAAAAGGTATATTATTCTTTGAGGGGATATTTTACTTCAACACTTTAAAGCATTTTCCAAAATTTCTCAAAAATGACAATTTTTTAAATTAAACTACCTCGAATATAGCAACAAAAACAAAAAAATGGCGCAGGGGGTATTCGCATTTTCGTTAAACTTCCTCCCTCGCTCCAAAATTTAAAAAAAACAAATCGTAGTTCACGTTATTGAAGAAAGGGATTCTATCTCTTTATGAAATTTATTATATATTCTGTTTCCTCAAAGACGAAGTAACTTTCATGTAAATAAGATCCTCTACAATTTATCGAAAATATGAGTAGTTTTTGCGTGATGTGTTGGCAATTTTTCAAAAATTATTTTCTCAAAAAAAAGCCGCAATTTTTTTCATTATGTTTCTCGAATAGAGCACAGCATAATTATAAAAATTGTACATGTCCCATTTCCGGTGAACTTTACATTTTCGAAAATTGCAAACAATTAACGTCGCAAAACTACAATATCGATGACATTTTTACTTTCCCGTAAACGTACGTATATATGGAGTAATATACGCAGTATAGGAAAAGTAATTTAATGCTGCGGAAAATCGATTTCGAGATTTCAACGGAAATACACGTGTTGGAGTCTTCTGATACCGAAAAAGTTTCTTTTCAAAACGTGCGTCTGTGCGTCCTCCCCTTTATGAATATCACTACACGTGCGCCTAAACTATGAGTAAGATTTTTTTTTTCAAAATGCAGAAACCCCTATCCATCTGGCTCGAGTCGAAGATTTGAAATTTTCTAAAACTTTCTTTAAAGTTTGTGGGTACTTTACATTAAGTCCCCCTCCCCGACATTTTCAATTTTTTTTCAATATATTCTCTCTTCTCTCTTTCTATATATACTCTCTGGATAGTGCTTATTGCACTCTTTAATATTATGTAAAGTTCATTTCGGGGTATTATTTTGTTTCTTCAAAAATTACACAAATGTAATTTGTTTTAAATATCTCTCACGCCTTCAATGTTCACATTTCCAGCGATTTGTAACACATTTGTGAGTTAATGTTTTTTAAATGTTTTCTAATGAAGTTTTTCGAAAACTCAAAAATTTTCTGTGAAAAAGAGCTTCAAATTCGAACTTACAGGGGCGTGTAAATGCCATTTTCTTAAAAATTGCTCAAATTTTTTCAAAGGAAATTGCCATTTAGGATGAGGTTTTACTGTTCTTTAATATTCTTTAAGTAATATAACGGTTCTACTATAAGGAAATCGAAAAATTAAGAATATTTCAAAAAAATGTACTTTAGGGCGGCAATAAATGGCAGCTGGCAAGAAGATATGGCAAGTTCGTATAGCAAGCCGAGACTAAAGAAATAGAAAACTAATACGGGAAAGTATGTGTCACTATGTAGCACCACTAGTTTAATTAATGAATTCCGTTCTTTAAAATCAGAAATTTAAGTAACGCTGTTAAATTTTTCCTGAAAATATTTAGCGTAATTTTTACGTCTTCGACGTTGCAAATTCGGCAGATTTAAATTCTCAGAATTCCTTCTCATTTTTGGGCGATGTTTTTGGCAGTTTTTGATTGTCGAACTTGTGACGATTTTTTGCTTAGAAAAATTGTTTGCGCATCTAATGCGTTACGATTGGTAATGAGTTGTACAAGTGATGTCTGAGATGCGAATATATTCAGACACTACTGATTATAATTAACTATCATTAAAGTATTAAAACGCCGAAAAATTGGTTTACGGCAAAACGTCTGCCCGTCTATGAACAACGCTAATGCTAAACCTCAGGCAGGATTTTCACCGATATTGAAATTCTCAGATCGATCTGGCTGATAACGCGGTCCCTTACACATCAAACGGATATTTTGATTTCGGGGTTACTTTGCATAGGTCTCCCAAAATTGAGGGTTACAGCTCCTTCCAAGTATAATGATGGAAATATAATCGTTCCTTCTAATCCTAACTGCAGTGGATTTATGTGAGTTTCGAAAGCTTCACGTTTCTTCGATCTTTCTTTTGAGCGGTTTGAATTCTTTTAACATAATGGACTAAATTATACTCTAAAGCCATCTTCAATCATGTGTTGTCAATGCTCTGAAAACGTATTCTGTGGTACGACACCGAAAAAACAAAACATCTGCCTCTGAATCACACCCACATTACCACCCTCGGTAGTATAAAAAGCGCGGTCAGTTAGTGTGTTACAATTTTAATAGTTCAGACGCGTGACGTCACACTTCCGTGCACTGACTCGCAACTAAATTTAAAAAGCATTTGCGGACGGCTTTTGATTTCATCCGTTGGTTTGGAGCAATATTTTGATTATTGAATGATATGAAACTGAGAAAAAATATTCCAACATACGATAAGCCTTCAGGTTTACCTTGGGGTAGTACAGCCTCACCCGCCATTGCTTTATTCGTTGCCTCAACATTTTCTCAAAACCTGCCCTAATTTTGGTACTCAGGTAGAGCAAAACAAGCTTAAAAATTTTTACAGGTTCCCATTTCTTTAACTCTCCGAATTCTCGAGAGTTGCAAAATTTTAAATTACAGCCACTTCCCACCCTGAAGATGTCCTTCACAATTAGATCTTTAAATGATCACGTGCAGTTTTCTTTCTTTTTTTATTAGTAATTTTACATGAAATAGAGGAGCACCTCAATTTTTTCCTATACACTAATAAAAATGGTACAGGTTAGATTTTCTTTGAACTATCATTTTCAAAAATAGCAATGTTACAAATAAAGTGAAAAAGTAGCGCAATTGTAACACCACTAGTTTGAATACTCGTGCCCTATAGGTTTTTTTTTGGCACTTTTATTAGTTTGTTTTGAACAAGTATCCTACTCGTAACTCATCTGTAGTAATTTATGGAATGTCCAGAAACAGGTGTATGAAAACCACTTGCTGTCTTTACCTAAATTTCAACAATACTTTTTACACTTAGAAAAGTAATCTTGCAATAAAAATATAATAGTTGAAAGGAAGGAATGGAACTCAAAAATCAAATTTCATTTGTCAACTTTGTTTTATTCCAACCTAACATGAATGTTCAAAACCTCAAGTTGGTTACAAACAATACATTTCAAAAACTCAAAATGAAGGGCTGACACTTAATACGGGCATTGTCGGTGTATTTGAACTGTAACCATTCAAAAAGTCATCATCTTCATCATGTTTAGAACCAACAGAACACATCCTTTCTTCTGAAAATGGAGCTTTTAGTTCGTTATAATTGGGAGATATAAATTTGCTGGACCTGAAAATGATATGTATCAGTGTGAAAAATATATCATTTAAACATATAATTGGACCAGATTATTTAACTTTCACTAAAGACTACAATTTTTTTAAATTTAAATTCAAAAATTAAAAAAATCTTAAAGAGCACTTACCTTTTCAGTACATATGGGTCAAATGGAAAGAAAGTATCAAGCATGTCCTTTACTGTTGTTTCATGAGTAACTCCTTGATCATTCAAATGTACCACTGGCAGGTGTGTCCGAGAATTGTGTTCAATGATGGTAAAGCAGTAAGCTAATTGAAAATTTCTAGTAATAGTTGCAAAGCTATGAACAATCTCCGGCTGACATACTTTCAGTGGATTGAGATCGCAGGTAACAATTTTCGTTAAATTGAGTCCTTGTAAAAATAGTAATCCTAAGACAAAATGAATGTAATTATTTACAAGCTGACATTTTCATGAATTTTAACACATCAGATATTAGTTTAAACATACCTTTCTTTGTATGTACAAAATCGCTGTATCTACATGATGTAACATAAAATATGGCTTGACAAACTGAATAAAATACTGGATGTACTCTTATATCTACACGGCTGCCTTCAGCTCCATCTTGTTTTGAAATGTAATTATGTACCCACTCTGTCATTTCTGCAATTCTGTTCATTAATATCCTAGAAAGAGAAAACCGCTAATTTTAACAGAAATACCATATGGCCGTTTGTATAACATTGCTATAATTATGAAATGCTGAAATGCTATAATTATGAAGTATCATAAGATTATTGAATACCATTGTACAGGGGAATTACCAAAATTTCAGATATCAAAGTTGCAATAAGTAATATCTATTAATGAAATTTACCTTATGGTTAGGGTATCATTTCTTGCCAAAAAGCTACTGAAGTATGCAACAGCTGTTTGTCTTATCACGTTTGCCACACGAGTGGATGTGACTTTTTGCCATAAATATGTTAAAAACATATCCGCTAGTTGAACTTTAAAGGTACACATATAAAACACAATAAACTGTACATGATGTGTTCCATGAGTGGGAAGAATAAGTGAATCAAACACACTAAGAATTTCCTGAAATAATTGCTTAGTTTCTTCCAATTTTAGCTCTGCCGGCTTAACACTTGTATCATAACAAGTAACATATAAATATTGAAACACTATATTCAAACAACAATCAAAAGTATCAGCAATTGAATGTGTCATATTTGAATCTTTTCTTTCGCCAAGTTCCATTTGAAACTGCTCATCCTCTGGCACATCATAAGAATCCATAATTTCATGTTTGGGAGCATTCACATCTAAGATTATTAATCTGGAAAAGACATTTCAGAGTTAAAAATAAAAGTGTAAAACATCACTCATCTTCAGTGCTTGCAAGAAATTAACAACAGTAATAAACAGTTTATAATCATAAAGGACTATATACATACCTATCAATCAGCAAAAATAAGAAGTCTGTTCTCAACACTGGCTGATAGTGAAGAATTTTAAGCATGTTATAAATATAACTTTGATGTTCGTGCACATTACGACGTAAGTAAGGAAAATGAGCTTCGATAACTTCTTTTAAGAGATCAAGGGACCTGTGAAATGAAGACTTTATTATTTATTTCATCGAACTGATTGCAATGTAGCAATTAGGGCAAGTAATTTATTAAGAAACTGCACAACAAATACAATTATACAGTAAATACTCATACACTTCCACACTTCTCCCAATATCATCCTATCATCAAGTCAATAGCAGACCATTATAATCACTCAAAATATATGGTGTAGGATGTAGGTAATGAAGAAATATATGAATTGTATTAAGTACAGAATTCTCACGTGCAATGCTAGAGGCATAAATTTCAATTCAGTAATTTTTATTGATTTATTTAATACAAGTTGCATGCCAATTACACAACAACACTACAATATAGAATATTAAAAATAGCTATGCGAAAAAGATGTGCATCATCATATACATTGTGAAGATAATAAAAACCAATTGGAAAAGTTGTCCAAGGGGAAAAATCAAAACTACATTTTGTAAACGAAACAAGGTACTTTACAGTACAAATAATACTCACATAGGTACAGTTTGTAGCAAAACTTCTAAAACTTCATGTACATGATTGTAAATGTTATTTTCTTCTTTAGAAGGAGTTTCATTCTCCCATCCATCAGCTGAAATTGAAACAAAAATTTGCAGTTTTCTCTTTGTGTATTTGACACATGAATGAAGGAGAAAACAATGCCCTTCATTAAACCATTTAATTTTCATTCTTTACGTACTTACCAGACTTAAAAGTGGCAACTAATTCATCAAAAACAATTTTTGTATAATAGTTATGAGCAGATAATAAATCCACCAGAAAACCTTGATAGTCCCTAACAGTACACTCACTTCGATGAGCCCATTTAATTTTCTGCAAAAAAAAAAAAAAAAAAAAGCATGGTTAAGCTTTATGTCATTATACAGTTCTTTAATCTTTAAATGCATTGAACAAAAATACATACCAAAATCGCATTCACAAGATGATATGCTGCTTGAGTTAGTAACGAAACATTTTCCCGGCAATCCTGAAGCAATCTGGACAGATCTTGATCCTGCCAGAATAGATGACATTTAGCCATATGTTTCAAATCATAACAATATTAACTAATAACACAAACAGAAAATTCTACCTCAATTTCGAAATCTCTCATAGAGTACACAAGTTCTTCATACTCTTTTACATTTGTTTTATTTCTGTATTCAATCAGAATTTTTCTAAGATTATCAGGCAGTTCGAATTGCACACGCTTGGCACTAGTATTCAGGTTATATTGTCTATTTACAAGGGTAGAAACCAACGATCTGCGCCCACTCGAGGCCACAGACATTGCCATTTTCGCTTCTAATAAATTACACCTATGTTTCACACGATTTTTCACGATGTCACAAAATTCGCTATTAGAAACACACTTTGCCTTAACCAGTGTATGGCAGGACCAAACGAAACAAGTCCAAGGCAAAATATAAAAAACAATTATTTTCCTAAGGTCTTCCAAATTAAAAAGTCTCGATAAACGTACAAATAAGAAGAAAATGAACCATTAAAATCCGTACAACAGTCATTAGAATACATATCAGCCATGTGGCATCGCATGGTCTGGTACGACATGGAAGTCAACATGGACGGCGGCACCGCGCGGAGCGGTAGAAGAGAGGTAATTTCTATATTGGTAGTTGGCTACGCTGTGGTTCACCATTACTCTTCAGCATCATGGCGAATATCGACAAAGGACGCAATAAGTGGGGAAACAATTCTCAAGGTGAAATAAATTTATTGTGTATTTCTTTTTTATCATAATACTGTGTTTTCGCGTATTTACTTGTGCTACTATCGTCTTTTACGGAACTGTGAATTGTGTGTAGGAGTGATTATTGTAGGAGGGTATCACAGGGTGCAGTGGTGCAGTTAGCGTAATTCTAGGTGGCCAAGTAAATGACCTTGTGGGAGTTCACATATTTGGATATCATACACATAATTTTAAATCATTGAAGTGTATTACTCGTGGGAGTTAATCAGTATTTTTATGTTCGCAAAATTTTTCAAGAGAATAAAACGTCATACTAGCTTCAGTATAACTTATAGATTTTGGTTATGTTTCAACATTTTAATTGTATTTAGTGTCGAGTTGATCAAGTTATGGGTCTCTTGGTGGAAAAAGTTCATCAGTTTCATTTTTGTAGATGACATTCAAGATATGAGGCTGAAAGAAGAAGTGAAAGGACGTAGAGGAAAACCACAAGTAGAAATATATCGTCCTGGAAGTGGACCTCTTCGCAAATCTGCACAAGGTGAAGAAGAAACAAATGTTGACAATGGCCGAAAACTGAAGTCTTCCATAGAAAATTCATCAGCTCCAGGTCTTTACAATGATTTGAAACACGAATCAAAGAGACAGAACCATTCATTGTCACAGGAACAATTAAATAGAGCTCCTAAATCATACGATTACAGTGAACCGTTAACTTCAAGGAATGTAAAAGAAAGTGATAAATTAACTGATAGATTGTCAAATATTCATCTTTCTGCTCCTAGTTCAAGCAATAGAAATCGTAGAAATAGTCTTGGAAACATATCTTCAGTTAGTTCTAAGTCTGCAGTCAGTGAATCAAAAAAGAAGAGCAAAAAACCAGAACAAGCGATTTACATACCCAAGCCATTAGTCCAGGCTCTTGCTGAGAGAGAAGTGAGTAATAAGTCTCCTGTTAGTGTGAGTGACTCTAAGAATCTAGTTGATACCAACAGTTCTAGTGATAATCATTTAAATTGTTATAAGGATCAAAGAAATCCTCATTTACAGGACCCTGAAGATTGGGATAGAGAAGTGGACTTTAAAAGTGTGGATAATTTTATACAGGATAGTAAAATAACAAGATCAGAAATAATGAACAGGAATGGTTCATTCAATCAAGTTGATAATGGGAAGAGGCCCAAATCACAAGGCAGAAGAGGGGGAGGAGGTGGGAGAAATGAAAAAGAATGTTTGGACAAAGATAATGCCAATTGCTTGCATAAATTGAACAGTGAAGGTCCTATTGAAGAAGAGGGCGATGATAAGCTGTACAATTCGCAGCAAGATCTTCGAAATATGCGTTATTCAGGAAACCGTAGAAATCGACAACCAAGCGAAGGTGATTCCAGATGTCCTGAAGATAGTCATGCACCACCGTGGAGAGCTGAGTCTCCAGGTGGCATAAGGAGAGGGGAGACACCCACTAATAGAGAAATACGTCAAGCTTCAGAACCAAGAGCTTTCCCACCAAATGCCCCAGTTGACTTGAATAGAACTCGAGATACACGTAGTGTGGAGCCAATGAGTAGTAATGGTCGCAGTTGGGGTGGAGAGAAACTACAGGCAAAGCCACCATCAGGCCGTAGAGGTAGTTGTAAGGATGGTACCAACATGGGGCCTAGTAAGTCAAATGCTAAAGCTACCCATCCTACTTTTGTAGCTCCAAGATTTAAGAAAAAATATTATGCTGAGACCGGTCTTGCTCCAACTGGCACAGGGTATGAAGATACTTGGGATGGAAGTACCGTGACATTTATGGGTAGTGGGGGAATGAACTATCAAACAACACAGCAAATGATGCCACCTCCTCCCCCTCCTCAACATCATCCACCTTCTGGTCCTCCACAACAGCAAATACCTGTTGGCTCCATTCCCCCTACATTTAACCATCATCCACATTTACAACATCAGATACATTCACAGTCACTGTACCAACTGCAGCAGACTATGCCGCTTTCAGATTCAGCTCACCCTCCACAGTTTTGGGCACACACCCTTCCTGGATCCCGTTCTCGAGGGAGAGGTCGATTACGACCAGAAGAAATTGAGATGGATAGGATGATAGCAAATGCTGCAAGGTCTTCAAGATCTCTTACCCCTGATCGACTTAATGCAACATCACCATTGCCTGCTTTGTCTGACACCAGGACACCAACTCCACCTTCAACACCACAATATGAAGATGCATTAACTATACCTGAGCAGGATAATGATAGTCTACACCATGATGTTCTTTCAGCTGCATCTTCACAGAATGCATTGAATACACATTATGAAGATGAGGTGAGAGAGAGTGTAGAGATTGAAGGACCTCTTGTGGAGCCATCTCGTGAACTTACTCCTGAACCAAAGCATAAGTGAGTGCATTTTCATTTTATGAAGGTTAATTGATTTTGTGTTAAATCTGGTGGAATTACTTCAATTATCTGTATTCATAATTCTAGGAATCTCTCATGGGAGCAAGAATGTAGAAATCAGGTACATAGCTCATGTGAGACCTTGAAGCAAGAAGAAATAGAGAGAGTATCAGAGAAGCCTCTTTCAAAGGAATCAGATGTTCCTCTAGCTTCTTCAGATAAATTTGAATTACGCAATTCACCCTCACCTAAAATTTTGGTAAGTTTGTATTGCTTTTTTTTTTATATACCTTTTTGTAATTATGAAACATTCAAATTATTCACAGGGATAATGTAAGTGAGTAAGAGGTGTTAAGAGGGTGTGAAACAATAAGCAGAATTTTTTGTTGTAGGATTGGAGTGAAGAAGTTGAACAGTGTGAAAGATTAGAGGCAGAGGGATTATTGAACAATGATATCATGACTCGAAGTTCGTCTTTAGCTAGTCTCCAGCAAGATCCTGTTCACCACCCACTTCTTCGTGAAGGGGGAGAAGGGGGAGGAGGTGGTAGTGTAAAACGTCGGCGTTCGAAACACAAGAAGTGAGTTTACTTTGTTTCATGTGGTTATTTTAGACTTTATTTGTGTTTAGAAGAGATTTTGCAATTGTTTCTTTCTTTTCAGGAAAAGGGAAAACAAAACTCAGGATAGAAGTTTAAGTCGAGAACGAAGTCTTCGTGAACAGAGAGATCACCCTCCAGACTTTGGGAGAGATCGCGACAGAGATAGAGGATTCCGTGGGTCAAGCAGAGAGCGAATGAATCGAGGACACAGTAGAGACCGCATGGATCGTGGCCTTCCAAAAGATCCACCACTTAGTCTTGGCTTGGGGCGAGAAGGCCCTATGAGTGGTGGTCGTAACAGGGACCATCCTCCTCGAAATCATAGCAGAGACCGGATGAGTGATAGTAGGCACAGGGATTTGGTTAATCATGGCCCTGTGAGAGATGCTAGGGAACCACCACCTCTTAATAGAGACAGGCCAAATCGGGGTCCTAGTAGAGAGCGATCTACTAGGACACAGAGCAGAGAACGAGCAAATCGTCCTCCAAGTCGTGAAAGGGAACGAAATCGCGGTCCCAGTCCTCCTCGGCCTAATCGGCCTTCCAGCCGGGAAAGGTCTCACAGAACACAAAGTAGAGAACGTATGAATAGAGGCCCTAGTAGAGATCGCAGTAAGAGGGGTGAAAGTCGTGGGACTAGTCGTGAACGTAATAGAAGTAGAGAACGCAATCGACACCGACGCAGGAAACATGATGATTCAGATCGGGGAAGAAAGCGTGAAGAACAGAGTTGGAGTGAGAGATGGAAGGATGTTAAAAGAGAAGAGCTAGAATTAAATCATAGATGGAAAGAGGAACCTGAACGTAATGATAAACCTAGTCGTCATGAGGAACTGGATAGATGGAGGGAGAATAGACACGATAATGTTAGAGAGCGAATTCCCAGTTGGAGAGAAGAATCCAAAGTTGGTAGTAAACGCGATGAAAGGGAGCGAGGGGATAGGGTACGCGAAATGAGGCGAGATGATTTAGAAATAAATGATAGACGAAAGGATGAACCCATGCGGGGAGACAGATGGAGAGAATTAGAAAGAGAAAAGGTTAAAGAGCCTCCTCCAAAAACTGGTGGCATTCTGGTTTTGCCACAGGACCAAAGTTCAAATGGCCCGTATTCTCAGCAGGCTTTACATTCACCCAGCCCAAGTGCATATCCTCCATTGGAACCTGTTGATCATGGCAACATGTATAGTCACCACAGGCAACTATATGATCACAATAATCCCAATAAACCTATTATTGTTTCTGCATCAGGATCTCGAGCAGGAAGGCCTGGACGGTAAGATTATTGTTTTATTTGGTAGAACTATTTTTAGTCTCTTGCTTTCTTAGTGTTTTGCTTCATTTAATATTGTGATGTGAGAAAATGACTTCTTTATTTCTGAAAAAAATTTAATTTCTTGTAGCTGAATTACTTCGAGTATCTCTCTTGATACCATCATTGTAAGTTTTATTTCTGTAATTAGAAAAAATAATAAATGACAATCTTAGCTTTAGTTAATAAGTAAGGATTGTTTCATCAGGTTATATTTTGCCTTTAATTATGCATAAATGTTTTAACTTTGATTATGAAATTAAATGCAATATAGTTTTATATTTACTAGAAATAAAATTGGTTCTTTGGTAATTTTGCACTTTCGTTTATTTTATTACATTTATTAAGAAATTTTAAATAAGATATAATTGTTAATAGTTAAACATTGAGGAGGGTTTGAAATGCATACGTGTTGCATGTATGATTGGTTTTGTTTCCAGAGAAAATGAATCTCCTAATATACCTATGCCAGGAGGAGGGGGGAGTGTTGTAGGGGGACCACCAAGTTTATCATCAGGATATGGATATCCTCCATATCCTCCTCAGCAACATTATACAGATCCCAATAATCCTGCAGTCTATGGAACTGAGCATTATAACAATAGCAAACCTGCTTGGTATGATCAATACAGTGCTAGGTAAGACTAGTATTTCATAGCCATTTATGGACTGCCTTGTGCAATGTATAAATCTTCTTACAAAAATTGTTCTTGTTCAGTTTTCAGTCTGTTCACAATCCACGTCTTATTTTGGATACTGAAAAAGCAGATAGGCATTTGCAATGGCTCCTCAATACTGATGGAATTTTGCGTGTGTGGGAAGAAGTTGCTCGAATAAGGTGAGCGAACCTGTTTGGTTATTATACTCATAATTTGATTGATAAAGTGTAATGTGATACTGTATTTGAACTTGATGAGAATTATTGTTCTGCGGATGCTGTCAAAGTTGACTTCAAGAAAGTTTTATGGATTTATTTTTGATGTTTTGCTGTCAAGTTTTGCTGTGCAATCTTGTGGTGCATCTATGAGATGTACCCTTTTAGGTACAATAATGAAGAGGCAATATACTTATCAATTTGTTCTCTTAATAAGTTTTGTGTAGGCTATTTCAAACTAGGAAGTTGAAAACATGAACTGGTTTATCAGGAAGATTTACAGACCTCTTCAGTGCTAGGACAGCAAAATGATATAATTAAAGATGGTGGTAAGAACATTAAATCTGAAATCGACCTACAAAGAATTAAATTTTCTTTATAATGTTACCTAAATTGGTTATTTATTATGTTTAGTATGTAATGGCGTACAAGTGGTTCCCTTAAAAACATTTAGTCAAATGACTAAAAATATTTTGAAGATAATGAACCAGAAGTATTTTGAAGTTTAACAGATATGAGAAAACAATTAAAATAAGAAAACGACAAATGGTGCTACAGAATGTCACTGACTTTCTTGTACTAGATAGTTTCCTATATTTGGTGTCTCGAAGACTACCAGGGCCTCTCACAGTACTTACTGCTCCTCTGAGGTGTAGTGAAAAGCACCTTCGCGTGCCCTGAACTTTGCAAAAATGCACCTCGAACATCTTGGTAGTTCTGAGCC